CCCCCCCCCCCCCCCCCAACTCAAAATGCTTCATTCTCTCATGAAAAATATTCTTTGTTTGATTCACATCTATGCGAATGCCTAATGAATCTTCTCAAGTCTATTCATTAAACAGAGGAATAATACTCAAGGGAATGATCCAAAATGAAAAAACATTACATCCAAACTAACTTGACATCCATTAGCCTACTGCAAAAAAAACACACCAGGTGTCGATAACCTTTTGTCTTACTCCTCAATCAAATCAATCTTTAATAAACTAATGTTTTGATTGCTAAAAGCTTGAAGGAATTCACTTAGTACACTATAAACTTCTACTTAGTCTATTTTAAAAAAGGTCAAAGAGGATTTATAAAAGCTTACAAAATACTATAACCAAAGGTCAAGCATTATGTCTTAAAAAGTAAACAAATTGGAGTCCTGTAATGCACTTTGCATCCTAGAATCGGCATACAATTGTCTCAAATACCATCACTTATTTATACCATTCTTCACATTGTTACTATACAAGCTTGTCGCTTTTAGTAGCGGTTGTAAAATGTAAAATTATCAAATAAAAGTGAAGTGAAATAAAAGCCTAATGAGAATCTTACCTGTGGACCTGAAATCATTGTTATTTCATTTATCTGTGCTCGAGTTCTCATGTCTTTTTTAGTTCTGACAGCTAGAACACCTACTTTCATCCGCCATATTGAAAAAATATTTTACATTGCGGCTTCACGTGATTAACATTGGACCAATGAGAAAAGTGGTAAGAAAATTCGACGATGACGTAACAAAAAATCACAAAAATCACAGTTTTGGCGTCATTGACCTCCACTTCCAGACTCCCTTGCACGCTTTCTTTTGTTCAGTTAATTAGCACACAATGTCTTACTATTCTCCCGAGGGAATACAAATTTAAATAAGTAAGAAAATTCGCGAAGCATCTTGGTAGTGGGAGTCAAATGTCGCCATCATGCAAAGGTCCTATTCAAAGTCAACGACTTCGTTTTCTTTCTGCTCAGCACGTTGTTTTACATTTTTAATGCTAAAAAAGTGAAAAAATTACGATATGATCTGATATCAATATTGACATATTTGGTTCGTCTTGACGTCTTCGCGTTTTTAACCTTATATCTTATATTTTTTAGCTTATACCAAATATGAATTGGCCCAGCAATGGAGCACGATTAAATCGGCAATGGTGGGGTTCTTATTAGCTCAAAACCACTCCCTCTGAGTCAAAATCGTGCGCAGCTAATAATTATTAATAAAATAACGGCACTACCGAAAACCACGCTTAGTGAGTAGGTTTCCCTCATTAAAGATTATCAACAACGTAATGGAAAATGTAAAAACAATTAGATTTTCTAAAAGGATATTTTGCCATTCAAAATATCTCTTCATGCACTAAGGAGTAAAACATTATTCAAATACTTACTCGAAATTTCGCATTGTCTTTCAAATTCTCCTGTTTGCTTTTTGACAAACTTGCATAAGGTCTTGCTGAAGAAAAACTGTAAAAGAATTTCGGCCCTTAGATCTGATCCTGTGGAAAAAGGAGAATCAATTAAAATCACAACATAAAATTGACTCAACATTACACTTTTCTTCCGTCTTTCCGTCTTTCCATTTTTTTATTTTTTCTTCTTCTTCAGTTTTCCTTCCATGCTTTCTTAACTCCTTGGCTCTTTTCTCCCTTCCTTCCTTCTCTTTCTCCTCATTTCCTTTTTCCCTCCCTTAACATATCGCAGCATTCCGACCAAAGCTTCTCGGAAAAGCCTCACTTGATTGGGTGAGAGTATCGATTACGACATGGACAGCAACGTTGCAGTTCATGTTACACGATGCAATTTCTTACGCAATTTCTTACACGATGCAAATTCTTTATTGTATTAATTCTTTGCAAAGTTGCGCACCCACAACCAACCGTGTGTATCTGCGCACCTAGCTCAGTAGACGAGCACCTGTCTACATTACACAAGGTCGAGAGTTCAGCCTCGGCTCAGATTTGTTCTCAGGGCTGGGTATCAAATGACAGAGGAAAACATTTTTGTAACAGACTGTAAAAAAAATCAGTCAGAGCTGTTTTTTTAGCCTCAACCTGGCATCGTGACATTATTGCCACCACCTATTGCGATTCATAGTTCCGACTCAGACAATAGCGAATCAATCTCCATTGCAGCAGTTTTCACAATGGCATTGAAATTTTGTCCCACAAACAACTACACAGTATCTGTTTTAAAGAGTACTACGAGGATTACGGGCAATTTTTATTGTTATTTTCTCAGGACATGAAACAATTTAAGAAATTTATGATTCATTTTCCGCGATCAGGGTTTTAAATTCTAAGATATCCTAGCTAATTTGTTAAGCTTGTGCCACATAGCAGCGGTAAAGGGGAGTCGGAAATATGAATTACAATCTGCGTGCAACCTTTCTGAAGGTGAACTTCTTTCCATGTGATACGTTATACCGATAGGGCGGGCGGGCATTTCAACACGCCCATGCGAATTTAAAACACGATTATTAAAAGACAAAGCTTCAGCCCAGAAGCAACATGTTTCGTCTATTATGAAGCGATACAGTTGTGAGGTCATCACTTCATGGTGGTAAGGTCTGGTTGGCGGCGCCAACGAAATCCACCCTGCAGTTAACTTGGATCGAATCATCAAGTTTCGAGTTTCCTGTTGCTCAGAGTTTGCTGAATGAAATCTTACGTATATGAAAGATTTTAGACGTCTTGTACCAACTAATATCCACATTTTAGGATTCATTATTTTTTCTCATTTTCTCTGTAAATTTATTTTGCACCCTCAATAAAAAAATTGACGATCATATCTTATAAATGTTCTGTGAAGCTAAACATGTCGAGACATTGCACTAGCTATTTTGTTCAAGTGCGCTAAGACTCGTATCAAATAAATGTGCTACTGTAATTATAGGAAAAAAGCAAGATCGATGTTTTCATCGGCATAGAGCTTGCACGCGATGTCAGTGAACACTCAATCACCGGGGAAACATTGAATCATGTAACTGAAAACACACAAGAACTTGAGTGGAAACAGTATCTCGTCAGTGTAGTCGACAATGGTATTTCTGAGACATTACCTAGTGCACACCTTGAAATACTGACTCATGCAACTACAGACACGCAAGAAGCTGCAAGGCACTGACTCGTGCAACTACAAACACGCAAATACCTGAAACACTGACTCGTTTAACTGCAAACATGCAAATACCTGAAAGACTTACTCGTTTAACTGCAAACACGCAAATACCTGAAACACTGACTCGTTTAACTGCAAACATGCAAGCACCTGTAAGACACTGACTCGTGCGACTGCAAACACGCAAATACCTGAAAGACTTACTCGTTTAACTGCAAACACGCAAATACCTGAAAGACTTACTCGTTTAACAGCAAACACGCAAATACCTGAAACACTAACTCGTTTAACTGCAAACATGCAAGCACCTGTAAGACACTGACTCATGCAACTACAAACACGCAAATACCTAAAACACTAACTCGTTTAACTGCAAACACGCAAGAAGCTGCAAGACACTGACTCATGCAACTACAAACATGCAATATACATGAAACACTAACTCGTTTAACTGCAAACATGCAAGCACCTGTAAGACACTGACTCGTGCAACTGCAAACACGCAAACAGCCTTGGATTAAACCACCATTGCATTTGAAAATCAAAAGCTTTTTAAACACATGAACTGGCTAAACACGCTCAAGTTATCCGTGTAAAGCAGCAACGACATTGCGTAACGGAGGTCATTGTATTTGCTTACTGTCTGAGTTTTTTAGCCAAGCTTCCTTGCTCGTTAAATGTCAAATTTATCAATACCCTGAAACGATCTCTGGGCTAATCTATTAAATTCAGGGCACATCTATCTCACATATTGCACCCTGGAACAATTACACTGGAACAACCTCTGGGTTGATCTAAGTTTGAAAATTCGAAAGTTTTAACTTTGAAACAACATCTAGACTGATCTAAGTCAGAGAACGGCTAACTGAGTGACAGTTTGAACCTTGAAACAACCTCTAGGCTGAACAAAGTCAGGGTATGCCGGCTAACTTAAAGTTCGAATATTGAAAGTTAACTAGTAGTTAAAACGAGCTGATCGTGAAGTCTTGTTTCTACTTTAATTCTTGTTATACAAGCCCCACCTCCTCACCCCCACCACAGAGTATCGTATAGCCGCGCCTACCTAAGACACGTACTATACGAGCAGCCAAACTAGAAGAACCCAGAATGACGAAAGATTGATAGCAAGTCTCAGACAAAATAATCTTTCAGTAACTGTCTTTTAGTTTCGTTCATTTTCCAGACTCTTTCCGACCTTCTGATCTCTACTAAACATGATCGTAAAAGCTGGGGGAATTTTCGATCAACACTATGGAGCAGATTTCACAAAACTGCCGTCAAACTGTAATACAACCTTTGAACCAATCTCAAAGCGCCAGATTACTCTTCGACCAATCAAAATGTTTAGACACGGCACGGCACGATGAGTGTTATTATAGTCAGACGAAATTTGTCTAAAGGAAAATACTGCCTGTAAAGGATAAGAAGACTCAGTGTCCTTGTATCAATGAACTCTATGTCCAAAAGGGCTTCTGGTATTTAATACCAAAGCAGTAACAGTCGAAGCTCGCTCCACATTCACGACGGACTGAAAAAAATAAAATGGGACAAACCTTAATGGTTTGTCTTGTGATCGCGTAGCTGACTAAACAGACACCTGTCTGTCAAAAGAAACAGAACGAATTCAGGAAACATAAAATACTCGTGTTTTTACTGACCTAACAAAAGCCTTGAACTTACTCTCTAGAGACATTTTTGGAAAACTAAACCTAAGAAATCTTTTAACGAATAAAGTGAAATTAGTTTCGGTGCGAATGTTAAATAACTCGTACAAAGGGTAAAAGGCTCGTTGATGAACGGAAAACAGAAACAAGGCGAGGCCAGATCGATCTCACGACACCAAGAACTAGTGAATTTATCACATCGCGCCAACAGTGACCCGACGGAAGCCTAACGCTTTATCACATTACTCACATGGAGAAAAATGAAAGATTGTTAACCAATTATACCTACATCTGAAGGTTGTGACGTAAAAACTGGGTTGAAGCGTAAGGGTAACGCACGCTCCTTTCTTCTATCAGGATATCGTAACGCGGTAAGGATTTACGGATTCATGGGCGTATATATTTTGAGCGCGTTATTCCGGCATAACAATTTAGGTGTTCATGTTTCGCGCTTAAAAAACACATGGGATACTCATTTCAGCGCTGTCGAAAGACGATTACCCAATTAACAAGATAAAAAACATGCTAAGTAATTGCGCCATATATTGCTTTAATGCAACGATAAATGACGAAAGAATTAAATGACTTCTCATTCATTCAAACCAATAAATCAGTTCAACGTCATTTTCAAAGATTCGCAACACACACTGGCTGATTTAGCTGAATTTGATTCCTAATTGATTTTACGCCTTCTAAACTGACACTGATCACATGAATGTTTGGAGAATATGTCGTCTATGTTAAGAATTTAAAATATTTGCTGCTGCATGTTGTATACCGATTGATTCCAACACCATTCGACTGTACTTAATCTTCAAGAGCTAACTTGCTGATAATTAGTCACCTCGAGGTAAAAACCTGGCACACACCGTGGTGTATCTCATTTATTCACGTATTATTGACCGCACTATGGATTAAAGGAATGAACGGTTAATTAACCTGTTGGTTTAAACAGAGCCGGTAAAGAAGGCAAAAGTTCAATAGACAGAATAAGGATGAAATGGTTTGAAGGTGTACAGATTATTATAAACAGTATAAAGATTAATGCCAGTTATGAAACTAAAATACTTTGGCGGAAAAATATTATTCGGCTAGTTTGTATTTTTCTTCTTTTTGTTTTCCGGTACAGAAAGCATTTCAAAATATTTTTTCAATATCTTTCTCTTCCAGTTCAAAATAGAAGTCGAATTATTGCGTTAGTTGGCATTTCACACATGTACGGATGCGTTTGGAATTGCTGGAAAAATTCCACCATACAGAGTGTTTTATGGGTTACATTTCGAAAGAAAAGTACACGCCTATTTCCGCGCAAGGCCAGATGTAAGCCTATGAGCAGACTGTCCCACTATAGTCTCCTGTCTCCTTTGCAGGCGTTCTTAGTGTCGAAGCGTAAGTCTCCTTCAAGTAAGTCCCACTCATGTTACTCGCATTACGACTGTTGTCGAGTTTATATTGGTCAATTGAGTGGCTTATGTCATGAACATGGTGACAGCTTCTTACAATCATTTGACTCCATAGAACCCCTTTTCGAGGTCTTACAAATATCCGGTGAAAACCAAGGATAGCTCGAAGCGATGCAATAACCAATATATCTAATAAAAGATTAGTATTTGTTCTAATATTAATAAATACTTGTAAATAAAGGTACGAGAATCGAATTACTTTACGAGCGCCGGTGACGTTGCCACAAATGAGTTTATCCGTTGCTCAATAAATACCATGTGTTCTGCTAAATCGAGAAGTAACGTCGCAAGGCTGATGGATACTACAGTGTATTATTTTGACCTTATTTTAGACCTACTACTTGTCCAATAATTGGCCCGATGCTTTGTTATCTCGTCCATGCACAGATATCGATGGTTTAATATAGAATCCAGACGCTCCAAACTAATCCAGGTCGATATAAAGATATCAACTATGTAATTAGACGCAGCATTTTGTAAAGAATCATTTAAAATACGCAGAAGAACACAGATACGATAAACTTGGATAAACCAGATTAGGTGTCTTTAGTTACCCGTTTTTTCCCCCTTCTTTAAATAGATTAGCGGTGAAACAATGAATACTTTAATCCTTGGGATCGATGTCTTTAGTCCACGGGAGAATTGAGAATTAATAGAGGGACACTCTTGCAGGAGATCCTCCTGTAAGGTCAACCCGGCCCAAACGTTTTCAATTAGGAAACTCTGTATTAATTGATTGCTCCTGCGAAGCCGAGATATCTATGTATCGTATTGTGGGTAATATTTAATGTGAGAATTCAAATTTCGATCTCTCTAAATAGTCAAATCTTGGTGAAAATCATCGCGGTTCAGAGTTCGGCATTGATTTAAGGACGTGACGGAAATGGATGAAACAGTTTGAAGATGCAAAGAGAGTTTGACTCTTAACACGCCTTTTTCGTCTCTGCCAAAACGGAATTTTGAAAGGATTTAAGATGGATAATATCTCAGATAATTACTGTCGAATATTTGTAATCATAGAAATTTTTAAGCCTTACCTGACTTTAATGGACTTTTCAGCCTTAGTTTACTGCGAAATGCATTCCGCGCTAAGGGAAGATTTCGAGAACTTGATGCAACGTGTTGTAAATCATTCTTGTAAATATTTCGTCCATAGATGCGGTTACCCCAGAAGAACAGGCACAGCAATGGAATTAGAGCCGCCCTGAGATGCAAGACAGAAGAATGTCGATAAACATTCCATAATATGGTATCCAATTTGAGGGAACAATCATTACGAACTTACCTAACGCAGTACCACGTCATCCTTTCGCGTTAGCAAACCTCATACACCGTACATACCAGTCGCTTATGCTGCCAAGAATAAAATCGCAAAACAAGACTGTTTTCGACAGAACACTCTGTAGGTCGTGTGGTCAGGTCAACACGAGGAATATAACACAGTGTGTGCTGGTGATAGTTGAATGACGTCTGCAGTTTGCACGCCTCTCCGGACTCGAATGGCGAGGTCTGCACATTGACAATTTGGTAACATCAAACATTTGGTGGCAGGTCAAGAGGTTGTTTAGACTATTGGCTATTAGCTATATTGATTTTGTTTTTATACAAGGATCAATTTGAAGTGCAAGAATTATTCAGCCAGTAACAAGGATGGAGATTTTTTATTCTTACATTCAGAAAAACAATTTAGTTTAGTGTATAGTCATGTCAAAAAAAAACGTGCTGTATGAAACACTAAAGCACTTGACAAAAAAATACTGTCCTTCCAGCAAGTACTCTAGATAGTAGTCCTAAAACAGACCAAATGTCTGCTCGGAATATTTTATATATATATATAGGGACTATTTCTATTCCATGCTTCAACATTTAGGAAGTGTCAGCAGTGAAAACTGAACGGAATAGTCAGTTGCCCAATTTTCGCCATAGTCCTCAGAAGATTGTGAAATTTCTCGGAACATTCCAAAGATTCCTCAACGCCCAATGAGAATCTAGCAATTCCTCTTTATTTCTAACATATCCTGCCAAATTGAACTACTTTGCGCCGAATAGTTTTAATTTTACAGCAGAACTGTCTTTTGTTCTCAAAGAAAGTATAACCTGGGGTATTTATCGCTAAGTAGATCTACATACATCTAATCACGAGATTTTTCAAAACATTTGCTTAATCATTTTTTAACTATTTTGATAATGGGATTATAATCCCACGAATGTGTGAAAATTACGTAGTGTAGTATGATTCAAATATTCAAAAAGTCAATATTCAGTGCCTTTTTGTCACATCTTCCTAAGACCGTGAAAACAGGAGTAGCCTAATAGAAGCTAGTAGATCTTATTTCTTTGTTTTCTTTTGTGTCTATTTGATTATTATACACTAACTACTTGAAACTGTTTGAGGAAACTCTATTATGACCGGAAACACGTATTCAACCTCGAGTTCCGATTTTTTAAATTTAATAAATTTAATTCCTCTTCCGAAAATGGGTAAATTTTTGTTTCTTTGTTTCTTTGGATTAGCGTGAGGAAACCCCACGTACCAGTCAAGTACCGGTAACCAAAACCCATTCAACCACTCCTTGACAACCAGGTAAAGGCACCCGACACAGTTTGGATCAGTCTCTGTCACCTTGAAGAAAACATCTCTCACGAGGCCATTTTTTTGTAACCTGGGCTTCCCTTCAAAACAGGAAACGCTAGAAAACCCCAGGATATGGGTTTTTGTGGGAAAGCCAAAATACCTCATCCATGACAGCTATAGGAAGAAAACTTTTTCATGMTAAATTATYAATTYATTTTTATAATTATTAAATKATCGATAATAGAATACTCTTGTTGACAAAGCCAAGTAAAGGAATKATAGAAATAAACTCCAGACCCCGACATCCCATAGACACCGAAAGGAAGTCCGGGACTGGACTACACATCCAAATGACTGCTTGCACCCTGGAAGCCACACATCTCCCCTATAGCATCAGGTTATATTCTGTTCGGCAGTCGTCTACTCTTACGGGACCGGGCACCCAGTGTGCGAAACTTTTTTCTGTTTACTTAAGGATCCGTTCAAGTCGGCTCTTTATTCTGTTGTTGCACAGAAGTATCGTAATCGTAATCACGTGAATAAGTTGCGCTACTTCTGAAACATCAACAAAAGAGCCGATGATAGCCCCCTCCCTCTTCCCCTCGAAAAATGATGTCAGTCTTCTTATCTAGAGTGGTTTTACTTAAAATCTCATTTCTCTCAATTAGCTTTTGTTTTCGTTAAGTAAAATCACTCTAATCACAAAGCATGCCAACAAAGATCACATGGACCACCGACACCGAGGTATATTCAGGCATTCGCTGGGTTCGACAAACAACTTGAACTGTGGTCTAGCTTGGGTAAAAAGGCATGATAAATAATGCACCATGTTCACTATTTCATGACAGGCCTTTGTTTTAGGGTAACTTCAAAGAGCCCTGTTTATCTTTCACCAAGCGTGACTTTTTCTTGATGAAGAAAATATTAGTTTTCTCTCATATGTTTCGATATCGCTAAAAACCTAGATGGAAATTAAATATTTGCAATCATTTTACGTTTTCTCTCTTTTTCGCTCACTCCTTCTAATATAACTTAATAATTAAGGGAGCAGGTTTCTCACGTTTCTCTTGGTAAAACAGGTTTCCTGTCTTGTCAATATGGGCTTGAATTCAATTCATTCCCGCACATTTTTTCAGTTAGTTTTCTTAGTAAGGGAAATTCTTTTCCAAATACCAAAGCTATTCAGTGGTATTTTTAGGAAAGGAACGAAAAGATGAGGAAGAAAACAATCTAAGATCGATGTTTTAAAATCTCTTAATCTAACATAAAGGTCACTGACCCACTATTAGATTGCGATTTTATAAATTATTTCAGTTGAAGACTCCGATTTTAGGCCATCACAAATCTCTGAGTTTCTTCATTAAGTCTTCGACGGTCATTTCATCATTGTCAGCAGAGATCTGTCCTTCACTACTGATTTCCTCTGATATCTGGGGAGAAAGTAACATATTGTTGAGTGTAATCATTAACCACGCATATCCTATGGGTGTATAAGTGTATGACACAATAAATCTTTTCAGTTGATTTTAGGGCTAGCCTCCTTAGCAGCCGTTCTTAGGGTCGTCACGCAACGTTTCCCTCCCCACAAACGTTGCGTGACGACCCTAAGAACGGCTGCGAAGGAGGCTATTTTAGGGCCGGATAAGGTCAAAACAATTTTCATCCTAATTAATCAGATTTGGATGGGAGGGGAGGGGAGGGGTGGGTGGGAACCCCAAAACCCTGATTCTTCCTCAAACCCATCACAAGAACGCCTGCTCTGCAGGCTACCTTCAAGCATATTCAAAATTAAAAGTCAAAGCGTAGAATTGAATACACTGTCTATTTGCAGACAAAGCAGACGAAGTATAGAAAAATGTATGATCTCCTGTATGAGTTTGATCGGGAGAGAGCCGCCAATATACGAAACAGCGTCTGCTCGGAATCACCTTGCGATAGGAAAATCCGGATACAACACGTATTGCGATTTTTAGTCGCTAATACGGGTTTATATTGATGACGTTGGAAGAAAATTTATCCCGTATTGACCTCCATCGCCTCGCGACTGGCGGCTCAAAATGGCGATAATATGTGTATGAGTATGACACCCATTTCAAAAAGTCTCTGAGGGGGAGGTGATATTCAACGGTACCCACCACCTAGATCAATATTTCGGGTCCCTATTCTGGACCATAAGAAAGAAAAAAATGGGACCCTCCCCCGCTTTTTGTGTTCCATATATACACATAGATTTTGGCCTCCATATAGTGATGGGACCTGGTTTGTTAGCCACATTATGTTGCCCGCCAATGAGTCTAAACCCACAACTGAACACCTTTTACTGCACAATTCAAATAATTTTATCTTACGAGCGTCTGTGACCTTACACTATCTGCAAGTCTACACTTACTTTTCTCGTGGCTTTGGGTTTAGCGTAAGCAAGCTTGACTCCTTCTACCAAATTGGGCGTCAAGTCTTCCTCGAGCTGTTCGCCTTCGCATTCATTAACAAGAGATATTCCTTCAAAAACAACGCAGATTAAAAACTCTGATTACTCTTGATTTGTATTGAAAGTAAACATCTACTAGTTGTTCAGCTTGAGATTGGAGGGTTAAGTATTTGTTGTGTCTCTGGAATAAGTTTATTTAGAAAATTATCAGTGATGTCTACGTGCAGGGACATAAGTGAAATATGACCCCTCCACACTTAATTAGTCTTTCATTGAAGCAGGCGAGTGTAATTATTCAAAATATCATGGTGATGACAGTCTATAGAACTGTCATGGGCCGATTACTGGCTTCAGTGGTTTTAACTTGATTTTAACTTGATTTTCAGGCCCAAGGGGAGGGGAGTAGGGAGGGCCTGAAACTCAGGTTAACTTGATTTGGGACCGTTCATTTTTTACGGGAATGGGGAAGTTTTTGGGATTTAGGGGGACACGTAATAAAATATTGTATTTAAGGTGACTGGCTACTTTTGGAAAAAAAATTAAACTTTTTTTAAACTACAATTTTTTAAAGTGAAATTTTATGCTGGTTCCAAATATGAAAAGAAAAATGGCGTGTCCCGTTCGAACGTTCAAATTTAGCTTTAAGAGGGCAAAACCCTTAAATTTTGCACGACTCTATATTTTTTAATAGCTTATTCGGAAAAAAAAACTCCTAAAAATCTAGGTTCTATCGATTTTTAGAAAAAAGATAATTTTTCTTTCATATGAAAAAAAAATTGTAGGGATTTTTGTTCGAATTTATGAGAGTCTTTGAGAGCACTGAAACGACAAAATATGACAAATCCATGTACTTCTTTGTCTTTTGGTCAAAAATATCGACGTATTATTATAGAATGATTCAATAGCCGTACAATCATAGAGTCTGCAAAGAACTGTTATCTTATCAATCTTGCCAGTAAAAAATGAACGCTCCCTTTGACCTCACGAAAGGAATTTCTCCCTCGAGGCAATTATTTTTTCTTTGTGGAATTGAGACACAGGAATTTCTGCAGGAATTTAAGAAATGAAAACTTTTCACTGGGATTTGATAATGTTCAAACGATACGTGCATGAAGATTGAAACTATACGTCTTATTGTAAAGGTACAATTTACCTCATCAAAAAGATTGAATTATATTTCCAGCTAAAGTGGGGTTTCCGCTTCTAAACTTTTAAATTTAATTCATTTGCTACTTAAATTGTTTTATAATTTATAATGTTACATGGGTGGCACACGCTGCTAACGCGTCGTCTTTCACCACTGTGATTCCAAAAGGTTCGGGTCACTAGTTCGAGCTATACTTCGGACACCATATGTGAGTTCGTTTGATGTGTTATTCTCTCTTATGTAACGAGGGTTTCGCGCGGGCCCTTCAGTTTACTCCCTCCGTAAAAATCAACATGTGAGTTGAGCGTTGCGTTCCCTGCTAGAAGAGTCACCATCGTTGGCGATTCTTGGCCGAGAAAATTTTTTTTTCTGGCAGCGAGAAACAAGCAACAGAATTTTACCCCCTGGTTAAAGAAGATGGTGAAATGCAAGAAGCAATAGAGGTTATTTCCCGTCCTGGGACTCCGGATAGGGTAAAACAGTGCCTGAGGTCTTGCATACACTTTTTTCAAAAACCGTTGTCACTCAAAGTTCATATATTTAGTAACCTGAGTATCAGGCTCTCTTGGGAAGAGGGGGAGAAGAGGGGTCCAACCCCTCCCGAGGTACCCCGAAGGCCTGATACTCAGGCTTAGACTGCGAGCAGCCCCACTTTTTCCTTTAAACTCAGTAAGGGAGAGTGTTTTGGGATTCCTGTGGACGCAAGGAGATTAGAGCCTATCTCACAGAAATCCCAAAACATTCGTTTTTACTGCATGGAGTCTTGAGGGAAAAGTGGGTCCGCTCACAGTCTAACTCAGGCTACATATTTAGATACCAACGATATTACATTTTAGCGAGATACTAAAAAAACACAAAACTAATTCACATCTTACAACCCACAATTCCTTTCGGTCTCAGATTTCAATTCTCCGACCGACAACGTTTTTAAAATAGATGTCTACATTTTCACGACCGATGGCAAAGTTTTTCCCAATCCGGACCCACCGTTAGGACGGTAAATGACTTATTTTCCGATTTGTTTAACCAACTGTTATCCCAGGTTACTAGGATAAGCGGTGAAAAATAGATAATAAGACCCGCACCTGTGCAGCCAATCAGAACGCACGGTTCTTAGGATACCGGACTAGATAAAATAATGGAAATTAATATACTCACCCCATTCGTTTTCTTCGTGTATTACTTCCTTTTCAATACTTGTATCTTTCTTCTCCTGCTTAGGTTTCGCAGCTAATTTTTCCTAAAAAATGGAAGTTTTTAAAAAATTATTTCTTTTTTAATTAATCAATTTTCAAAAACATGACATTTGCGCATGAAACTAATGGATCAGAGGTTGACCTGAGAAAGAATTGTAGATTCCTTACTAAAGAAAGGAAACAGTAATGATGAAAAGGTAAATTATACACCGTGAAAAGATGAAAAAACTTACTGACGTTTCGGACGCCAGTCCTTCGTCGGAGTCCTCTTTTCACGGTGTATAATTTACCTTGTCATCATTACTGTTTCATTAGAAACACCGACGCAGCTCACACTAGTTTTTAGCTAGTTATATCTAAAGAATGGAAAGTTCATCGCATGCCTATAAGCCACGCTTATTACCCAGGATTTCCTCAAAAATATGGGCAAAAGTATATCTGAAAATGAGTGGCATTTATTTCTGGGGTGAAAGTCCGTCGAATGAAAGCGTCTCAATCAATTAATTAACTTTATTTATCCACGGTAGACGGATCAGTAAAGTGGTTTTCAGACATGCCATGCTTTGTTCTGACCATGAAGATTAAAAATGAATCACCAAAATACCCAGAGATACTCATACCGAAAGCGAGAGTAGGTTTTGGACGAAATTAAACATCATTTTCCGCACACGGCAACAGAATTCACAAACCCTCCGATGGGTTAGGGGAGAATTTGCTGTACATATCATATGCCCCCTAACCCCGGGGGGGGGGGGGGG